CCTCACCCCCCGCCCCCCCCTTAAAAAAAAGGGCCTCAGGGCCCTGGCCCTGAATGTGATAGAAACAATCAGTGCATCGCAATGTGATCGTTTAAATATTCGGGGCGCAATCACATTGAGGGGTATTGATTGTTTCGATCAAATTCATGGCCCTGGGCCTAATGTGAATACGACAATGACATTGAGAGGTACCAGTGCCAAGCGTTGCCAAGGGGCCTTGCGGGAGAGGTCTCACAGCCTGTATGTCGAGGCCAGCCAGTGGTGGAATGTTTCGGAGTCTGCTGGACAAGCCTGTGGGGGAACCTCGTTGGATACCCTGAGCCTTTTGGGGGACGCTCCAGAGCTGAGGTATTTGCCGTCTTGGCATGGGCGATGCATTACTGTTGATCATGCTTAGAATTGCTCGACATCGGGTGGTCGTGATTAGCGTGGCTTGGCATTTGTTGGTCGTGCTTGGCCTAGCTCGGTCGTGCTTAGTTGGATGGCCGTGCTTGGAGTTGCTTGACATTGGCGGTCGGATGGGCATTGCTCGCCATTGTGTCGGGATTGCTTGGCATTCCTGGGCATTGCGTGGTCGCGCCTTGCAGTACTTGGTCGTGCTCGGCATTGAGTTGTCTCGCTTGGAACTTCTTGGCGTTGGTTGAACATGCCTGGGGCTGCTTGGCATTGGGTGGTCGTGCATGCCATTGTCTGGCACTCGTTGCCGTGCTTGGCATTGCCTGGCGATGCTTGGCATTGGGAGGCCGTCAGTGGCACTGCTTGGAATTAAACTGAGTGCCCCCGCTTGGCATTTTTCGGTCGTGCTCGATATTGGTTGGCCGTGCTCGGCATTTGGTGCTCGTGCTTCGCATTGCTTGGCATTGCCTGTTCCTGCTCGGCACAGCTTGGCAATGAATGGTCGTGCTTGGCGTTCCCTGGAATTGATTGGTCATGCTTGGTATTGCTTGGCAATGAGTGGTCGTCCTTGGTATTGCTTGGCATTGTTGGCAATGCTATGCATCGCCTGGCGTCGATTGCCATTTTTACTGATTGTGTTTGGCGTTGGTCGGCGTTGCGTATTTCGGCTTGGCATCGCTTGGCAATGGGCGGTCCTGCTTGGCATTGCTTGGCACTGTTTGCTCATGATTGGTATCGGTTGGCTTCGTGCGGTCGCACTTGGCGCAGCGTGGCATTGGGAGCACGCGCATGGCATTGCTTGGCCGTGCCTGGCATTGGCCGGTCGAGCTCGGCGCTGCTTAGCTCTGGTTGGTCGCGCTTGGCATTAGGTGCCCCACCCCCAAGGCTTCTCGGAAAAGCCTTTAGGGCCTCTCGGGGCAAGCAATGCCAAGCCATGGCAAGCACGACCAACCAATCTACAGCGATGCCAAGCACGGAGTTTTCGGTTCGAGAGGCGTTCTGCAGCGTTGGGCGCCTGCCCCCGCAGGCGCGCTACACGCGCCCCACCTCGCGCCGAGACTAGCGCGCCGGCCGCGGCGACGGCGGCCCGCGAATCGGCATCCCATCTTCGGGCGCGCATCCGAGCAGCTTGGCTGCGCGGCGCGGCGCTTGGAGGGGCACCACGGCTCCTCCGCGGGCTCGATGGCGCCCAGCGGGCGCGCGGACGCCAGCAAGGAGCTTTGGGCGCGCAAGCGCTGCGATGGCCAGGACGGGAAGCCCCGCGTCAACAGGGGCTTCCGTACCAGTTGCCATTCGTGCGGCATCGCCAAGGGCAGCTTCTTCCTCGCCAAGGTCGGCCCTGCTTCCCCATCTCGGCCCACCCGGCCGCTGGCGCAGACGCAGCGGCAGCAGCAGCAGCAGCAGCAGGCGCTGGCGCAGCGCGAACGCGAGCTCAAGGCCAAGGAGACGGACCTCAAGAGGAGGGGGGCGGCTCTGGCGAAGGTGGAGCTGCAAGCGCCCGCCGGCGCGGCCCCGGGCGCTGACGCCACAGCAGCCCCAGACCAGGCTTCGATGGACAGGCTGCGCACGGACATTGAGACTTTGGAGAGCATGGAGGGCGGCGGCGGCCACCTCGACGCCCTCTTGGCGCACAAGCGGGAGGAGCTGCGAGCGCTGCAGGAGGCTCGCCAGGCGCCCAGGCCGGTGCACCTCCAGCTCATAGAGCTGGGCGAGAAGCTCAAGAAGAAGGACCAAGTCCTGGAGCGCCTTGAGCACACGGACACCCCCACCGCGGAGAGGAAGGTCGAGGCGTTCAAGGGCCAGAGGGGCGAGGCTCGGCAGGAGCGGGGCGCCCTGCAGATGCAGCGCGACGCTCTCGTGCTGTCGTCGGTGCCGGGCGCGCTGCCTAAGCAGGGTGCCACGGCCGGCGATCGGGCCAAGGCGTGGGTCGAGCTGTCCGCGGCGGTCCAGCACCTCCTGGTGGGTGGCAATGCGGGGCCCTGGCAGGCGCACTTCAAGAACTTGGACGAGCTGGCGAAGGCCCAGCTGGCGCAGGCGGCCCCCGCCGCCCCGCCTGGCCCCGCAGGCGCGGCAGGCGGCCCCCCCGCTGGCGCGGCCACTGCTGAAGGACGTGGAGGCGGCGCTGGAGGCGAGGGGGAGGCCGCCCCCCCAGACGTGCCCGACTTCGACATGCTCGACGAGGAGGACCAGGCTGCCCTCGACAAGGTTTTGCACGGGCTGGGCTCCGGCGCTGCTGCTGCTGCTGGCGATGACGGCGATCGCCCTGCCAGGCGAGCTAAGGCCAAGGCGGCCGCGCGGCTGGCCAGGCAGCTGGTCGCCAAGACCGTTGGCAATAAGAAGTCCCATGGGCAACCCCCCGGCGGCTCAGCCGATGCTCGGCCCGTCCCTGGGCGGGGAAGGCGCGGAAGGCGGCGTCGGGGGGATACCGTCGGCGTCGTGCAATTCAACGGCAATGCCTGGGGCGGCATTTTGGAATACCTCGAGAAGGCGCCGCGCCAGGTGGTCGCCCTGTGCGCGCAGGAGCACAAGCTCGAGGCACATGACGTGGACGCGGCCCAGCGCGCCATGGGCCGGCTTGGATGGGCGGCCAGCTGCGCACTACGCGCGCGCACCTTGGACGGCACCGGCGTGGACAGGAGATATGTGTCCTCCAGCGCACTTGTCGCCAGCAGGAACTACCTGCGGGCGGAGGTTGTCACGCGCTGGCAACGCGAAGACTTGTCGCCGCTCGGGCTGCCTGGTCGCGATCCCGGCGTCGGTCTACTTGGTCGACTCCGTCGGCTGGGGCGCCCAGAACACTCAGATCGCGCGCCACGTCTCCGCGCTGCTCCAGGAGCAGACGCGCCCGTGGATCGTTAGCCTCGACGCCAACATGCCGCCAGAGGAATTCTCTACCTGTGAGCCTCTGGTCAAGCTTGGGGGCTCGCTGGCGGCGCCTGCGGCGGGGACCTGCCGGCACCGTGACGACTGGCATACGTTGGACTACTTCTACTTGGACTCTCGATTGCGGCACCAAGTAGACCGAGTGGATGCGTTGGATTCGTGGCCTTCCCGGCCCCACACGCCGGTGCTGCTCGCCCTGCGTGCCCGCCCGCGCACGGCGCGGGCGCGCTGGCCTTGGGGAGGCCCATTGGGTGCGACCGCGAGCCCCGGGCTTGGCTCGAGATGGCGGTTCACGACGGGTCCCAGGAGAGCTTGGACACCGCGTGCGCGGCCACCATGGCCGCCCTGGAGCTTGAGGTTCTGGATCGCCACGATCTCGTCGGCGATGGCGCCGCTCGCTGCCGCGGTCGCGGCGCCGCCATATGGCCTTTGAGGAGGCCCCCGTCCAGGCAGGGCGCCGATGGGGAGGCCGGACCGCCAGCAGGCGCACGTTCCACTTGCGCTCGTTGGCGGACATCCTGAACGAGTTGCGCCGCAGGAGAAAGGCGCGCTTCCCCCCTCGAAGGCGTCGCGGGGCGAGAAGCTGCGCCGGCGCCTGGGGAGGCGCGCGCAGTGGATAGCCAATGACTTGGCTAAGGAGCGCATGGTCGCCGTTTGGGCTCCCGCTATGCAGCACTGGGCACAGCGCATCGCAGCCTCGGATGCCGCGGCGCTGCCGAGCTGGGACATCCACGCCCTTAGGCAGGATCCGGCTCGGACCTTTCGGGCGCGAAGGCTGGTGGCCAGGAGCAGGTCCGGGCGAGGATCAAGCGTTACTTTGAGGAGGCGTCGGCGGGGAGTGCCAAGGGCCTACGTAGGTTCACCAAGACGCTTCCACGGTAGACCACGCCCACGGGGGCGAATGGCAGCGAGGCCGGCCCCCCGGCGCAAATGAGCGAGCAGGAGCTGCAGACCTGGGAGAAGGTCTGGCGGGCCCACGTTGAGCAGGTCCAGGCTGTTCCTCGGGCGCGGTTGGACGGCTCCCTCGACGACGACCCCCTGCCCGCGCCCTCCGAGGACGACTACCGCTGGGCGGCTGGGGGCTTCCGCGCACGCGCGGGCCTGGGAGTCGCGCGCTGGAATCCGAGAGTGTTACAGCACTGCTCGCAGCAGTGCCCCTTGGGCGTCGGGGACGTGCTCGAGCGCGCCGAGGCTTCGTTGCTGCGGCCCTCGCAGGTGAATATCCGATCTATTTCATGATCCCGCAGAAGCCAGGCGGGCGCCGCCCCGTCGCGAAGATGCCCATGCTGGTACGCGACTGGGAGACCCTCCGCTACCCCCTCGTGGCCGAGTGGCTGACCTCCGTAGTGCGAGACTGGGCTTGGGCGCGCGCCAGGGGGTCTTCGGAGCAGGCGGCGTGGCAGCACCTCCTAGAGAAGGAGCGACGGACTTGTCCGAGGGCCCGGAGGGGCAAGCAGTTGCCATCATCCTTTTCGACCTGGTCAAGTGCTTCGAGCGGGTGCAGCTGAAGCACGTTTGGGCCCGGGGCGTTCGATGGGGCCCCCCTCGTCGCGCGCTGCGCATGCTGCTGGTCAGCTACTCCGCTGCCCGGACTATCGCGGCGGAGGGGGCGCGCAGCAGGACGGCGCAAGCGATCTCCGCGATCGCCCCCGGCAGCCGGTTCGCAATTGCTGCCCTGCACCTCGTCCTTTTCAAGCCCTGCGACGCCCCGCTGGCCGCAGCTCGGCCTGGGGAAGCATGTGGGCGACATCGCCGTGCGGGCCCAGGGCAACGCGCGGCAGGTGGTGGACGACATGGCCGACGGCGCGCAGTGGTTCGCGCGCGCCGTGGAGTCCACGTTGCAGCTGGAGGTCAGCGTGGACCCGGGGGAGGTGCCGGGAAAATCGGCAGGCCTCGGGACTTCCGCTTGGGTGGGCCATGCGCCGGGGAGGAGGCTTGCCAGGCTCGGCATCCACATGGAGCAGCAGGCGAGCCAGCTTGGCATCGACAGGAAAAGCTGGAAAGGCCGCGGTCTGGAGGCGGCGCGGGCGCGCCGCCGCCTGTCGAGCCGGCGCCCGGCTCGCGACCGCCCTCAGCGTGCTGGTCGCTTTCGAGTGCTCGCTGAACGCCGGCGCTTGGTCGTCAAGGCCAAGCGGTGGGGGGCCAGGGTGCTGCTGGTGTCCAAGGTGGGCCTCCTGGCTGCTGGCACCTACGGGCACAGGGCAATTGGCCTCACTCCCCAGGAGGTCGCACAACTCCGGAGCACCGTGAACGCAGCGCTTCCAGGTCGTTCGAGGCATCGTTCGACGACGCTGAGGCCGGCGTGCTTCGGCGAGGACCCTGGCCCCACCCTCGCGTCAGCTCCGATCGCAGCCTGGGCCGAGCAGGCGTGGGACCACCCAGGCCTGTCCCCCACCATGTCGGAGGCTTGGAAGCGGCAGCAGATCCGGCTGCTGCACGACGAGTCGCAGTCAGCTCAGATGGTGCCCGCCTCCTCATGCGCCTTGGCTGCTCGTCGCTCGGGGTGGACGTGGCCGTCCCGGCGCACTTTCGTGAGCAGGGAGGGCCACGTCATCGACATGGCCGCGGTGCGCCCCCGGGATGTCCAGGCCATGGCGGAGCGCGACGCGGATCTGCAGCAGTTGGAGGCGTGGGTCGCCGAGGACAATGGTCGGGCGGCGCTTGGTCCTGCCTCTTTTTCCGAGGCCCTCCAGAAGTGGTTCCGGCGTTGGCAGCGCCGTTGGTGCGCCCGCTGCTGCCCGGAGCGTCTCCGCTGGGGCGTGGACGCAGAGCAGGGCTTCGCAAGCAGGAGCCGCGACGTTGCCTTGGTGCCAGCTTTGCTTAGCTGACGGACGCGAGGTTGCCGGCACGCCGAAGCACCGTTGGGCCTGCCGCCCCGGTCTGCGGCGCGACCGGGAGGCGCCCCCGCCGCGCTGGCAGCGCGCGATGGCCACCAGCAGCGACCGATGACTGCGGGACCGGGCGCTGCTCCCCCATCCAGGTCTTCGCCGACCCTTCGAGGCCCAGGCCCTCGAGGAGCATTGGGAAGGGGAGGACTGCTACCTCGCGGAGGACGTCGGCACCGATGGCAGCTTGAAGGGGCGCTGGAAGTGACCGGCCGAGGGGGCCGGGCAGCCGTGATGATGGGCCCCGAGGGCGCCGTCGTTCAAGTGGCAGCGCGGGGACCGCTGCCTCAGAGCTCGCCCGTGCACTGGAACATCGACCGGGCCGAATTGCAGGCCATCGAACGCGCCCTGGCGCATGCCCACCCGCCGCTCGTCCTGCATGTCGACAGGCAGTCTGTCCTTGATGGAGTGGCCGCTGGCGAGCGGCGGCGCACCGCCTCGCGTCGCCCGAACGCAGGCCTGCGGCGACAAGCACGGGCGAGGCCGCGGGACATCGGTCTGGGCCCCAACGGCGTGCAGCTCCGCAAGGTTCCGCGGCCGCTGCGGCGACGCTGGAGTGCGAACAGCAGCGCATCTCACAGGTGAACAGGGCGGCCGACGAGCGCGCGGGCCGCGGAGCTGAATGCGGCACCGACGTCATGCTGCAGTATGTCGACGAGGCCTGCAACGCAGCAGCGGCGAAGATCCACAACGCGTTGAAATACCAGGCGGAGCTCACCACGCGGGTCTTGGACGAGCACTTCCGGCGGCCTGATATCCAGGAGCTGCCGAAGTCTCGCCAGGGCGCCCGGCCCTCAATCCAGCTCGTGCCCGACACGGCTCAGGCCCACGACATTCGGCGTCGGCCAGGTGGCCAGTGGGAGTGCGCAAGATGCCACCGCCGGGCGCCGCTGCAGGTGCCGCGGACGAATGCTGCAGAGGGCACGTCGCCGCGAGCCTCCCCATAGTGTTCACGACGGCCGGCGCTGTCTCCGACGGCCATCGACTGTGGAGGACGTCGACGTGGATCTGGTGCCGGCGATGCGGCCAGCACGCACAGCGCCGCCTGGCGGGCCTCCGTGGCGAGTGCCTTGGCCGCCCCGGGCAGCCGCGGCGCCTGGTGAACCTGCGCGCGGGGAAGGAGCCGAACGCCCACGTCGCCGATCCCCCGGTGGGGGTTCCAGCCCCCCTCACCGAGGCAGAATGGGAAGAATGGCAGGCGCGGCGCGGGTGAGCGGGCCGCCGCGCGGGGGCTGAGGGTGCCGACATAGTGTAGCTATGCCGGCGTGCAGGCGGCTCTGTCACACCGTGACCTGCCGTCGCTAATCTGCGCCGACCGATGCCAAGCACGGGCCACCAGTGGATCACCACTTGGGTGACTGGCCCACCAATGGAATTCCCTGGGGTGGCTTGGCCCACAAACAGACATTCCTTGGAGTGGATGGGTTTACCAGCGTACCTCCCCTGGCCATAGAGGAGCGGAAGGAGTCGCAGGAGCGGATGGTCCGAACTGAACCGCCCCTGGAGCGGAGGGCCCGCCAGTGGACTTTCTGGCGTGGAGAATTCTCTCGTGTGGAGATTTCATTAGCGGCCCCCCCTTGGTGTGGCATGTCCACCAGTACCCTCGCGCAACACTGGGCATCCTTCCTGCTGCGCTGCTGCATAGGCACGGTGGCGGGGTTTGCCGCAGGCAGCTTGAGAGTATATATATATATACATATATATATATATATATATATATATATGCGTATAGATGTATATCGGTGTGTGCGTGTGTGCGTTAATTAGGCTGTCCCCATTCGCAGCACCCTGAACACTACCCGATGGCCGAGGGGAAGCTCAGGCCCCGCCCAAGGGCCCATGGGGTCACGCCATCAGCTCTGAGGCGTATCAACAGCAAGCACGGCCAACCAATGCTAAGCATGGCCAACCAATGCCAAACAATGCACGCACGACCAGCACTTGCCAACCACTAGGAACCATTAGCCGTCAAAGCTAAGCAGTGCCAGGCATGACCAAGCAATGCCCAGCGGTACGAAGCACGACCACTCACCGTCAAACAATGGCAAATCTGAAGCCTACGTACGTAAATACATACACACGGCCATGCATGTTCGCACATACACACATATAGACTAGTCTCGGAGGTCCCCATTGCAGCACCCTGAACACGACCCGATGGCCGAAGGGATGGTCAGGGCTCTTTCAAAGGCTCATGGGGTCGCAGTCGTCAGCCCTGGGGGTGTCTCAGCGGCAAGCAACGCCAAACAATGTCAAGCAATGTCGAGCATGACCAACCAATGTCGACCAACGCAAGCACAACCAATCGCTGCCAACCAGTACAAAGCATGAACCATCAGCGCCAAGCAGTGCCATGCACGACCAAACAATGCCAAGCGTTGCCAAGCACGACTACTCGTCGCCAAACAATGTCACGCGCTACAAACACGCAATGGAACGTATGATCATTCAATGCCGAGCAAAACTGACCAACGTCAATCACGACCGATGCCAAGCACGATCACCCAATGCCAAGCACGAGATATCAATGCCAGTCCCCGACGAGCACGCCCGATCAATGCCACGCACGGCCAAGCAATGCCAAGCACGACCAACCAATACCAAGCAATGTCGGGCACGGGCCACCAGTCGATCACCATTTGGGTGGCTGGCCCACCAATGGAATTTTCCGGGGGGCCTGGTCCACGTACACACACACACTCTTTCTCTCTGTCTCTCTTTCGCACACGCACACACACACCAACACCAACACCATCACCACACCGCCACCACCACCACCACCACCACCACCACCACCACCACCACCACCACCACCACCACCACCACCACCACCACCACCACCACCACCACACACTCACGCACGCACACAAGCCCTGAGTGGAGGGTCTCCAATTGGGCGTCCTTGGAGTGGACGGCAGTGGGCCAACCAGACAGTGGAGGGACCAGCAGTAGGCCACCCTTGGGGTAGACGGACACCGTCTGTGGACCACCCCTGGGTGGCTGGCTTGCCAATGGAGTTTCCCTGGGGCGACTGGCCCACCAGCGGACTTCCCCCCACCCAACAAAAAAACGCGTGCGGCGCTAAGGCGAGAATCAGATGTTGGAGAGAATGTGCGCGGCGCTACAGCGAGAGGCCGAAATTGAAAAAATGTGGCTCCCCAGACCGCCACCCCAAAACCCCCCGCCCCCCGCACTGGAGAGTTCGTCGCCGACAGCCTTGGCGCTGCTGGCCCTCCAGGGCCGCGCGTCGTGACCATTTTCGACTCTCCGGGGCCGTTCGGCCTGGAGCCCGTGGCCTGTGGGTTGTCGCGAAATTCGAAGAGGAAGCGGAGGCAGGAGCAAAAAAGAGAGACTGCGCAGGAGGAGGGGGCGGCGAGGAGCGGAGATGCGCAGGACCAGCGAGCAGCCTGGAACTCTACTCGACACCACCCAGCCGGAATTCTGACCTGGAGGGGTCCCTCCTCCCCCTCCTCCGCCTCCTACTCCGCCTCCCCCTCCTCCTCATCCCCCCCCCTCCTCCGTAGGATCCCATCGCTATCCTCCTCTTCATCAACATCACCACCCCTTACATCTCCTCCAACATGTCCTTTTTCATCTGCGCCCCCTCATCATCCCATGACCACAACCATCATCGTCATCATCACCCAATCACCATCATCACCATCACCAGTACCCCATCACCACCCGCGTTATCATCACTATCGTCGGTACCAGCAGCAGCAGCATCAGCAGCGGCATCAGCATCAGCAGCAGCATCACCATCATCGTCGTCGTTATCGTCGTCGCTGTCGTCATCGTCACCGTCACCACCAGCATCATCAACGTAACAGCAGAAGAAGAATCGCATCATCATCATCATCATCATCATCATCATCATCATCATCATCATCATCATCATCATCATCATCATCATCATCATCATCATCATCATCATCATCATCATCATCATCATCATCAATATCATCATCATCATCATCCTCATCATCATCATCATAATCATCATCATAATCATCATCATCATCATCGTCATCACCATCATCATCATCATCATCATCATCATCATCATCATCATCAGCATCATCATCCGCAGGTGAAGGTTGTGGTGGCGCCTGCCGGTGCGGGTGCTCCTCCGCCTGCCGCTCTTCTTGCTGCGCTGGGTCCTCCCCTTGACCTCTTTCGGCAGCTTGTGGAAGGTTCGGTTACCACTGATCGTGGGCACCGACACTCCGACGGGTGTTGCGTCGTGCAGTTTTGGGTCATGTGCGGGTCGCGACCGTCCTTGATTCGGTGGCGCCGGCGGAGGTCCTGGTGATCATGACGATAATAATCCTGATAAAGGGCACGATCGCTCGCATCGTTCTGGACGTCGTGGTCGTGACGCTGCCTCGCAGGACCCCTGGCATGGCCATGGCGGGTGCGATCCATGGGCAGCTGTGCCTGGCGACGGCGGTGCCGGCCCACAGCCCTAAGTACCGCAGCGACATGGGCCTGCCGTTCATGCTCCGCGTGTTGCTGCTGATGAGTGTTTTCTCGATGCTGGCGGTCAGAGACGCTGTCCTGGTCTCTCTTGTCTTGGCTTGTCCGCACTCCAGCTGCATGGGTCCCTTTGCCCGCGCTTCAGGATATTCTTCAACGCCGCGCTCGCGATGTTCACACTGGCGGCGCGGGAGATGCATCGGCGTCGCTTCCGAGTGCGCCTGTCTGCCCGACTCTGGAGGTAGCCGCTGGCGCGAGGGCCGCGGAACGCAGCGTGGTCAGACACCCCGTGGCGAGCTGCATTGGCAAGTTGGTTTTGCGATGTGTTTCAGTCTCTGTGCGTTGGCACGTGATGGCATATGTTCATATGTTCGTAGCTGGCTGTCTCATCAAGATCTGCTTGAGAGTTGAGGGTTTCGAGCGGCTGGCCGACAATGTCAGCCAGCTCGGGCAGGATATGTTTCATCTCCAGACCCTCCTTGACAGTTGTTTGACTGGAGCTAGGTTTGCTGTGCTCACGTGCCACTCCTGAATGCGGCGCGCTGGTGCCAGGGCTTCGGCATCCTAGATTTTCTCTTGGGCGTCGTCTATTGGGCAGTACGTGGTGCGCTACGGCTTCGGCGCCCCAGACTGTCTCTTGGGCAGTGCATGGTGAACTTCGCCATCGGCGTCCCAGAGTGCCCCTTGAGCACGTGGTGCGCTACGGCTTCGGCGTCCCAGACTGTCTCTTGAGCAGTATGTGGTGCACTACGGCTTCGGCGACCCAATTTTTCTTTTGGGCAGTATGTGGCGTTCTACGGCATTGGCGCCCTTGGTTGTCTCTTGGGAGCTTCGTGGTGGACAGCGACTTCGGCGCCCCAGATTGTCTCTTGGGAATGCGTGGCGTTCGTCGGATTTTACTTCGTGGTGAGGCCTCGGGCCCACTCTTCTCTTGTCGTTATGTCTCGTGTCGTTTTGCCCCGTCGTTCTGTCGCCTCTCCTCTCGTTTCCTGTCCCCCCGCGTTGTCGTTTCTACACGTTGGGTTCGTCGTTGCTTCCCCCGCGGCCTCGTCTTCCTCCTCCCCCCCCCCATCGTTCCGTCGCCGCCCTCCGCGCGCATCTGAAACTTGAGAACGGCATCGGGGAAAATCTTCACCAGCAGCAACAGCACCACCATCATCATCATCACCCCATCTGCATCACCAGCATCAGCATCGTGATCACCACCATCTTCACCCGCAGTATCAACACGATCAGCATCTTCATCATCATCATCACCATCGCCATCATCCTCATCACCACCACCACCATCGCATTTACCACTGTCGTCGTCGTCGTCATCACCACCACTATCACCGTCACTTTCACCATCACTGTCACAATCACCATCGTCTTCACCATCGGCATCAGCATCATCACCATCACCACCACCATTACGATATGCACCACCATCATCACCACCATCTTCATCATCATCATCATCATCATCATCATCATCATCATCATCATCGCCATCGCCATCCGCATCAACACCGTCGTTGTCGCGCCACCCACGCTAACAATCATTCCTAGTCGCCTTCCTTCCTTCTTGCCCCCCTTCCTCTTAACTCTCCCATAGTGGGGAAGGGTGGCAAGAAGGAGTAAGAGGCCCCTTGGCCGCCCGTGGGGGCGCGAAGATGATCGCGTTTCGCGCGCCGCCGTTTTGGCCAGCGCGGTCACCCTCTTCCGCGGGGCGGTGCAAGGGCGCGAGGGCGCCAAGATGACCGCGCAGCGCGGGGCCGAGAGCAGAGCACGAGGCGTAGGGACGGAAGAGCTCCCCACAGGCGAAGGTCGACGGCGCGTGGCGGCCGGGCCTGGCGCGGGGCTCGGGGGCGGGGGGCGGAAACCCGCCGCTGTCGCCGCCATCTTGCCAGTGACGTCGGCGTCCTTCGTTCTCTCCCCAGACCTTCCTGGGAGGCAGGAGGAGGGGGGGGGGAGGAGGAGGAGGAGGAGGAGGAGGAGGAGGAGGAGGAGGAGGAGGAGGAGGAGAGGAGGAGGAGGAGGAGGAGGAGGAGGAGGAGGAGGAGGAGGAGGAGGAGGAGGAGGAGGAGGAGAGAGGAGAGGAGGAGGAGGAGGGAGGAGGGTGTGGACGATTAGGAGGAGGAGGTGGAGGAGGAGGAGGAGGAGGAGGAAGGGGAGGAGGAGGAGGAGGAGGAGGAGCACGGAGGAGGGAGGAGGGAGGAAGGAAAAGGAGGGAGGAGGAAACGGAGGATGGAGGAGGACACGGACCACGAGAAGGAGGTGGAGGAGGGAAGAAGAGGAGGATAGTCTCGGCTGTCGTTTAGGGCACGGGTAAAGTGTTACCACGATCGTGCCCTACCAAGAAAACTTCATATGCAATCAACTGAGACGCATGATCTCCATGGCAAATACCAAACACTATCCTCCCTAACAAACTGCTGCCAAAGATCACACACGTATCTTTTCCTCTTCATAGAGATGGCATGCAATATGTGTGTGTGTGTCTGTGTGCGTACATTTCCAACGCAAACCATCCCAAACGCATAACCAGAGACACATGGGGAGGCAGGAGGCGGCTCCTGGGTGGGTTGGTGTGGGGCCTCGTCGCCACGGCCGGGGAGAGAGGGGAGGGGTGGGCGGGCTGAGATCGACGAGAACCGCCCCTGGCTCGGCTGGGCTGGCCGCCCCGAGCCGTTCACGGGAGCGCCGTCGCAACACGCTGGCGGCGATCATTCCGCGTTTCGGCCTCCTCATCCATCTCACCCACCTCGACTTCCTCTTCCTCCTCCTCCTCCTCCACCCCCTCCTCCTCCTCGTCCACACCCTCCTCGTCCACCTCATTTTTGTCCTCCTCCCCCTCTTCATCCTCTTCCCCCTCCTTATCATCCACCTCCTCCTCCTCCTCCTTCTCCTCCTCCTCCTCCTCCTCCTCTTCCTCCTCTTCCTCCTCCTCCTCCTCCTCCTCCTCCCTGTTGCTGCGCACCGCTTGTCTTTCGTCGGGAGGCCCCTGGAGGCCTCCGCAGGCTTCCAGAGGCCCACAGGGAGCCAAGAGCGCCCAAAAAGCATTGCTGTTCCCGCCCCCTGATATCCGCCAATATGATGTTTTCGATCCGCGGCACCAGCAGTCACGACATCTTCCCCAGTAGTATGTTTTCGACCAGGATCCAATTTTGCTAGTCGCGCGTCTCGAAAAGGGGGCCCTGAGGCCGAAATCGACGAAGAAAACATTCGGATTGATAATGAACCTTGGCGCAACCCAAAGTAGGGGAAGTTCCCTGTAGCATGGGCTTGGCCTTGCTTGGCGTGGCTTGGCGTTGCTTGGCGCTGCTGGGCATTGCTTGGCATTGTTTGGCAATGCTTAGCAGTCCTTGGCCTTGCGCTACATGAATTCGCATTGCTTGGCGTTGCTTGGCACTGCGTTGCAACGCCAGCCAGACCGAGGAGCAAGACCAGCGCACACGAAGAGCCCAAGTCTGGAAGAAGACCGGGGAAGCTGGGGAACCGTGGAACAGGGCCCGAGGACCCGAGGGGCCCGAGCAAGAAGCAAGACCGGGGACCACGAGGAACGAGACCTGGCCCCTCCCCTGGAAGGAAACAAGACCAGGGAACCCCTGGGAAGGCCGCGGCCGCCGACGACCAGGCCCAACACCCAGCGGCTCTGCATAAGGAAGTCAGTGTTTCGCACGCCCAGTAGAAAGGGCTCCCACAGGCCGAGACTTGCCCCAACGTGTGCCGTCGTGATTTGTCGCAGCGCGGCAGGGTTTCCGAATATGCAATGTCTCGATGTTTCCAGGCGAGGTCCCCGGAAGTCCCGACCCTTTTCCCCAGGGCCGCCGGTCTTTCGTCCCGAGTCGATGTTTGACGGTCCTGGGGCCCGGCGAGAGTCCAAGGAGGCTGAACATGGCCAACAATCTCCCGTCCTGATGTCTGCCAGGACGCGAACATGTCTGGGTCGTGATTTTTCACAGCGCGAGAACCCTCAGATCTGACGTTGGAAGAATTGTGCAACATCGCACCAAATCACCACAGGAGCTACGGACCCGATCTTTCTGCGTAATTTTTCGAGGCGGACCGACCTGTGAGGATCCCCACGCCGAAACCAGGCGAAAGCGCCCGTTGCGAAAAAATTGCATCGCCAAGGTCTCTGGGAAGGTGGGAGTTCCCCTCTGCTCCGAGGTGGACCGGCGCGATTCCGACGCCAAGTACACCGTCGTGCTCGAGGGCCGTGGCCGCGTGGCGGGCCTCGACGACCGGCAGCTGCGGCGCAGGCAGCCGCCGCGCGTGGGCGAGAAGGTCGCGAAGGCCGCCGCGACCGCGAAGCCCCAGCTGGCGGCGCGCACGACCCAGACCCCCTCGAGTCATAAAAAAAATCACAACGGGAGGTTGTTTGTTGCTGTTTTCGGCCTCTGGGGCCCTTACCAGACCTCGGGACCGTTTAAAAAAAGGATTCAGGACGGAAAAGAACTGTCCTGGGGAAAGGACGTGGATTTGAAAAATGAGGAATTCGCATGTCTAGGTCCAGATCTCCGACGATATGTTGTTTTCAATGCGGCGGTTTGTCGTCGATGTCGGCCGTCTGGGGCCGTTTAGGGGCCTTGGCGCCATCAAAAATGAATCTGGGACACAAAACTACCTTGGGGTGAAGGTCGGGAGCTTGTGGGCCGCGGACTGACCAAAAAAATCAGAGCATCGGATGCCTGGGGGGGGAGTTGGCAGAAGCTGGCGCCAGGATGTCCGAGGGTATTCTCCAACTGAGATTGCCTAAAGGAGTCCTAGCTCAATGCACAGAGAACTGGTTCACTGCTCCCCCCCCTACGTTGCCCCTGCATCGTCAAACTATGCGCATGGCTTCCTCTGTATCCGCATGGCTTCCTCTGCTATCCGCATGGCTTCCTCTGTATCCGCATGGCTTCCTCTGCTATCCGCATGGTTTTCTCTGCATCCGCATGGTATTCTCTGCTATCCGCATGGCTTCCTGTAGTTATTCCAATGGCACCCCAAAAATCGTCCAACAATCGTTAGGCTCCGAAGTAGAGTAGGGTATATTAGATTAGAGCAGAGTAGGATACCGAAGAGTATGTGAATAGAGTAGAGCAGAGCAGAGTAGAGTACAGTAGATGAGAGTTCCGTAAAGCAGGGTATAAAGGAGCGGAGTGGAGTGGAGCGGAGTCGATTAGAGTAGGGTAGAGTAAAGTAGAGTAGAGCAAAACAGGGTCGACGAGAGCCGAGTAGAGTAGAGTCGAACATTAGACAGGAGGTAGGAATAGGGCGGGGTATAATAGGGTAGGGTAGAGGCGAGCAGAGTAGAGAAGAGTAGGGCAGATGGTAGAGTAGGGTCGGGTATAATATAGTAGCGTAGAGTAATGTAAAGCGTAGTAGAGGAGAGGAGATTAGAGTAGAGTAGGAGACCAGTCGAGTAGGAGTATATACGGGTACAGGAGAGAGAGAGGAGAAGATAATAAAAGAGAAGAGAAGAGAAGAGAAGAGAAGAGAAGAGTATATCCGATCAGAGCAGAGTAAACTAGAGCAGGTCAGGGTGGGGCAGAGTAGGGTAGGGTAGAATAGAGTCGGGTGCGCAGGGTAGAATAGAGTAGAGTCGAGTAGAGTAGGGTAGGGTAGATGGTAAAGTAGAATCGGGTAGGATACAGTAGGGTAGAGTGGAGCAGAGTCAAGTCTTTTCCAGTCCATTCTACTTCAGCCCATTTCAGACCATGTCATTTCATTATTATGATATATTTGGCTGCGCTGGTTGATATGTTGTCTTCAATCCGGTGGTTTGTCGTCGATGTCGGCCGTCCGTCTCGGACTGTTTGCAGGCCCCGGGGCCATCAAAAATAGATCCGGGACGCAAAACTACCCGAGAGGAAGGTGTCGGGGGTTCTGGGGCCGCGGACCGAGAAAAAAACATCGATGTAAACATATATATATATATATATATATATATATATATATATATATATATATAGATAGATAGATATACACACATACATACATACGTACGTACATGCACACATATATATATACACAAATATGTATATATGTCTATATGTCTATATGTCTATATGTGTATGTACATAGGTGTGCTTGTGCTTGCACGGGAATCATCTAAGCACGGGATGCGCAGAGCACCAGAGGGATCGCATCTCCGAATGTATCCGCCGCCGCTTCTGCCCGTCAGCTTCGGCCGAGCGCCGCGCGTGATGACGGTGCCCTTCGCGCTCGGATTGGTGGCGGAGATTGCTCACCAGGCTGGGGTGGCGACAGTCCTGTGGGCAGCCAGGCAGCCAGCCTGCCCGCCCTGCTTCGGCTGCCCCGCATGTCCGCCGTGCCCAGGGGCTCCCAACCCCGCCACCGACTGGCGCGTGGGGGTGGAGTCCGTGGACTGTGCCGATGGCTGGAGCCTGCTGCCGATTGTCACGGCTGCGGCGGGCCTGGCCGTCGGCTGGTGGCCGGCGAGGCGCGCCAAGTTGACAGTGGGCCTGGACGGCTTTCAACGCGCCCAGAGGCCAGCCTCTCTTCCATCAGAGGTTGTGCCACGGAGTGGTGGCGACCTTGGGGAGTGAAGAGGCCCGACGTGCTGGTGTTCGGGCGCGCGCTGGGACGATGGCCGCCCCCGCCGGGCATCCCGCGGGCCAAGTGCTACCGCTTCCGCGCGGAACCCACGGCTGGCCAGCGGGCGGCGCGGGCTGGTGAAGCTGAGGCCGTGGCCCGCGCCTACCAGGCGTCGGTGGCGGCGGCCCGCGGCGTGGCCGCGCTCCCCATCGGCCAGACGGCGCTCCTGCCGATGCCGCCCGCGGGGGGCGGCGTCGCCGCGGCGGCCGCGGCGCCGGCCGCTGGCGCGGTCGTGGCGCCCGTGGCGCCCGCGGCCGCGGCGCCGGCTGCCGGGGCGGTGGCCCTGGCCGGGGCCCCCGCCGGGCCCCCGCCGCGGGCGGCGTCGCCCATGCCCCCGCACCCGGGGCCCCTGCTGCGGGCGGACTCGCCCCTGCCCCCACCCCCGGCGCCAGTGCGCGGGCGAGCCTGGAGGCTCGCCTGGGCGTCGTCAAGCGGGGCGACGCGGTGACGTTCAACGGCACCGAAGTGCTGCGAGGAGACCGCGGGCTGATCGAGCTCGTGGCGGGCGACAGGCTCGAGGTGTTCAAGGGCTCGGAGGCGGCCGCGGACGCGCGCCTCCTCCCCGCGACGACGAGCGGCCAGCTGCGGCGGCGACGTCTCTGGCGCGAGGGGGTCAGCGAGCTGCAGGGGGAGGCCATCACGGAGTTCCCGGCGCCAGGCCCGCGCACGTCCAAGTGGTGCCGCGAGTTCCTCAACCGGAAGTCGGGAGGTCCTCGCGAGCATCACAAGTGGTGGATGAGTGTCCAGCGGCTTTTCCCGGACATGCGGGGGGCGCAGGAGCACGAGACCATCGCGCAGGCGCTGGAAGTGATGCTCGGGCACGACGGCCTCGACGTCAAGAACGTCGCAGCGGCTGAGCTCCTCCTTCGCGCGGCTTAGCTCGAACACTCGCATTCTGAGACCGGCCCGGCATCCGCTGGCCCCGGCGGGCCACCCCAGGACGGCAACAGGAAGAAGGGCAGTGGAGGCAAGGAAGGGGAGCGGCAGGGCTGGCGTTCACGACGAGACCCAGATCTTCATGGGAGCCCACAAGGAGTTCGGGCACATCCCCCTCGACCCCATGCTCCTCGACTACGCGGCGAAGGAGGTGGGGCGGGGCGCGCGGGCGACGAAGCAGGTCAGAAAGGCGCGCGAGGAGCGAGTCCTCGCGCGCAAGGCCGATGGTTGAGACGGCATTTCGGCGGCCCGCCCCCGAGGCCGCCGCCGCAACGTCGAGGGAGGCGGCGTCTGTAGAGGGCTGGGGCGCTGGCAGCATTGGCCGACGCCCCGAGGATGATTGGCGCTTGCCGCGTGACGACGGGCAGCGCGACTTGCTGCCGTTTCCTCGCCCACCTGGATCGAGTGCCGCTGGTGTGAGTTTTGTTCCGCGCGCTGGAGCCCGACCCAATCGCGCGGTGCGTCGCCAGGCAGAGCGGTTGAGTCGCGACGTGGGCTGGGCCAAAATCATGACCGACACGCCGAACGAGATGGCGGGCGGGCCAGCGCCGGTTTGCGCCGGGGCCAGAAGCCCCGCGGCTGGCTGGCCACGGCGCCTCGAGCGCTCGAAGGCCGCCGCGCGCGCAGCGTGGGGGCCTGACTGCGCGAACGGCGAGGGGGCCCTGAGCGGTCTTCTCGCCTCTCGCCCAACGGGGGCGCGGCGGGGACCCCGCCTCCAGAACGGCATCGGTCACGCGGCTTCGCGGAGGCGGCCAGAGAAGCTGGCGCGCGAATAGCCGAGGAGGCGAAGAGTCAAGTCTCGCCAACAGATGAGGCAAGGAGGAATGAAGCGCGCCGACAGCGACCCTCTCCTGCGAGATCGACGCCGCCACGATCGCCTTGCGCGACGCCTCGCAGCGAGGGGGCCCATCGAGTTTCGGGGGACCTGCGCGGAGCAGGTCGGGCTTTTCCTCGTCAGGAAGAGCGGCAAGGCAAGGCCCACCGTGGACCGCAGGCTGTCGAACACACACCTCGGCGAGCCGGACGGCGCGCACTTGGCCAGCGGCGCTGCCGCGGGGCCCATCAACGCGGGCGCGGGCAAAGCGGTCTCTCCGGGGTAGATGGACATCACGGATGCCCCCCACGCCCTACGCACCGCCCCTGCCGCCGGAGCTCGCCAAGCACTTCGGGCCGCGGCGGCTGGCGGCCAGCGACGCTGAGGCGTCCGAGTGCGAGGGTTCCCCCGTGCGCCCCGACGAGATGGCGGCGCCTTGCATTGCGGCCGCCCCGACGACGGGGTGGCCCCCGGCGCCGGGCGCGCGCCAGGCTGCCCACGAAGAGGCGACGCGCCGGGCCCCCTCGTTGCCAGACGAACGGCGTCTCATCGACAGGCGCGCGGCGCCTCCGATGGACCCGCTGGCGCGCGCTCAGCACGCGGACAATTTCGCGGCCTTCTCGCAGGACTTCGGCGCCACCGAGAAGGCCGCAGAGGACGCGGGCGAGAAGATGCCGGAGCCGGGGCTGCCGACGAACGGCGCGGAGGCGGGCGTCGGCGGCAACTGCCCCGGCTGGAACTTCGACTCGGACGAGGCGGCGGCGGCGCTGAGCTCGGCGAGGCTGCGGCGGCTTCGCCTCGGCGCGCGGGGCTGCCGTCGAGGCCACGGCTGGCGGGTGGGGGACATCGTCGGGCACCTGACCTTTGCGGCTCTTCTGAGGCGGGAGGCCATGTCGCGCTTCGGGGCGGCGTGCGGCTTCATCCACGCGCACCGGGGCGA